ACTGCGCGAGGACAGAGGACTCCCACATACTGCTGAAGGTAAGGAAGGACAGGAAGAGCTGGCGAGCTGACTTAGAACACCGGCGCACAGAGTGAGATCTGCAGGTGGGCTGAGAGGAGAAAGCGAGAGAGGACTGAGGAACTACCAAGGTCAGAAGCTGAGAAAACTGTCTTCCTCAGAACCACCGCTGATATGGGGAGACTTAGAAGATAAAAACACAGCTGACAAAATGACTGAAAAGCAGAAGGGAGAACACAGGGCAGCCTAGAAGGTCTCCTTACCTGGTACTGAAGGCAGGACCTGCGTACAGAGAGGCACGGGGAAGTCTGCGCTGAGCCCATGCGGTATCCTAACCTTGAAGCTGGTGTGAACCACCACAAAGTCACCTGATGCCTTGTTTCTTTTATTCTTCTGTGTTTTTCTTTTCCCACTTTACTCCTCCTTCCCCATGTCCTCTGCCACCGAAGTATTTGCCAGATAACACTAAACGTTCCTTTTAGATGAGTGCAGGAGCTCCAGGTTTGCCTTTCTCTGTCTCCATGATGGGGTCACAAAGGAAGAGGAATAGGACTGGCTGTCCTTTAAGTGTCTCTTCACTGATGAGCCTCATGGAACAGAAAGGGAGTAAGAAAAACCACCCAAAACAATTCATAGGTCAATATGGCCAGTACATTCTTGGTACCATGACCTGCAGTTTGTTCTATCCAAACGATATGCAAGACTTGGCTGTGCCATAGACTTGGGTGTGGAAGCTCAGAGAGAAGGGAAGAGAGGTCAGCTCCCAGAATACACCGTGGGTTCCCAGCCAGGGTGGATAGGACTCCCCGCCACATGTTCTACACAGCCCCTCAGAAAGGCAAAGAACTTCCTATAGTAAAATGTACTGGGAATAATTAGAAGGAGTATTTTTTAAGCAATTAGGAAAATCAAATCATGTATACCAGTGTGGTTGCTTTTATTATTGAGACTCATCACAAAAAACACCAAAGATCTGAGGGAAATGCCCTCAATTTTAGTGAAGAAGTAATTTTATTCATCCTTCTTAATGATGTGTCTTTGGAAAAAGTATTTTCCTGCCACTATTGCACTGAACATCCCCTTGAAACCATTCTGAACCCTCCAATTCTGTATATTCATGATCTAAGTCTGCTTCAGAATAATTTTCTGACATCCTCCCCTTGTAAGTGGTAATACATCATTATACTGAGGTTTTTTTCCTCAGTAGACATTAATGCTTCAAAGGAAGTCCTTACTTAGATCAAGAAAAGAGATGCCATCATTTTTGTAAAAAGCCAATTTGCTCTCAAGCTTTGAGCATAATCCTCTAACTTACAAACTTACTGAATTCCAAAAGCCTGATTGTAAATTGCTTGTAGAAAAAAGAGAGATAGGGGCTGGAGATTTAGCTCAAGCTAAAACACCTGCCTGGCAAGTGCAAGGTTGTGAGTTCAGTTCCTGGCACCAGAAGGAAAAAAAAAGAGAGCGAGAGAGAGATTTCTCCATGGTCAGAATTAGGGTATCTAGGCAATAGGTAGGTTCTCAGGGAAGCCTATATCCTTTTTCCCTCATGCTCTATCTCCAATAGCCATACTCAGTCCTTATTCATGGGAGATATTTTCCCCAATTCCTGAGGATGCCTGAAACCAACTCTACATATACTACCACCTCTCCCCTACATACATAACTATGAAAAAGTTTAATTTATAAATCAGGCACAGTAAAAAAAAGTAATAAAATGGGAAAATTACCACATAATATAATAAAGTTAGATGATTTTCACCTTTTCACTTATAGCAAACACTTTACAGTTACTCTCTGGTATAACTGAACTGCCAGCATCGCTACTTGTATAAGTGTGACTTGAGCACAAGTCCCATGATACAGACAGCCCATCTGATAATCAAGACAGCTATAAGTGGGCAGATACCATATTTCCCCAAAAGTATGACTTAACTGGAAAATAAGCCCTAGCATGATTTTTCAGGATGCTTATAATATAAGCTCTACCCCCAAAATCAGCCCCAGTTAAGATTACCAGCCACACAGACACTTTTAGTACTTCCACTGCAACACACAATGGACGCATTGAGTTATAAAATAATAATATTAACATATAATTAAATACAAATTAATAAATAATATTATTGGCATTGATACCTAAAATAAATGATAAATAAGTTATAATTATTTGTAAACACCCAAGTTGCTTCGTTTGGACAAAAGATAAATCTTTGTGTAAACAGATGAACAGGAGACTTCATGCCAAATGACCAACTGGAGTACACACGCAACACACAAATAACGTGTGCACTTGATAACAAATGGATGCAGATGTGTCTAATATGAAACTTCATAATTCAGTGTGTCCTGTTGTAATGATGCTCTACGAGCAGGCTACATGGATAAGAAGTGCTCATTTAAGGAGAGCTCTACTGCTAGACATGCGAGATTGGGACCAATGGTTCTACAGAAAATGGAGTCAAGACATTCAGGCCAGAATTCAGGGTTTGGAGAGTTACGACAATGTTCTGGAGAAGATGACAAGGTTGTTTGAATAAATGTAGACTTTTTGTGCATGAACAAATGTAGACCTTTGTGCATGAAAAAATAAGACATCTCCTGAAAATAAGCCATATTGCATCTTTGGGACCAAAATTAATATAAGAGATGTTCTTAGGGGGGAGACTATGGCAGCATATGCAGGGTAGATATGCTGGACAAAAGGACAATTCATGTCCCAGGCAGGACTGAGCAGGATGTCATTATGCTACTTAGAATAGCCCACAAGTTCAGTCTGTGGCTTATTTCTGGAAATTCTCATTTAATATTTTCAGACCAAGGTTCACCATGGGTAACTGAAATCACAGAGTGGGAAACCACAGGTAAAGAGAGGCTACTATAGCAATGCGGTGAAACCAATGGTAAAGTGGTATTTCTATGGGGACCTCTGCTTCCAGAGTTACATTTTGGGGATAGCACAAACCCAAAGTCTCCCTTTCTGGCAATGAAAGTATGAGTTCCTCCTTCAGAAAGCAGGCTTCAGGAGAAGGGCAGGGTGTGGGCTCTGGGGAGCAGGGTCCCTCAGTGAAGCTGCACATGCAGAGTGAGCCCATTGCTTGTTGAGACCAGGAGGAAAAGAGGGCAGGAGGCTGAGAGAGTGGATACGGTGGGGGACGCTTCAAAAAGCAGGTGCACGCAGCTCCTCTCACCTCTCCCTTTTCTTTTGCTGTCAATATTTCTCCTTCCTTTTCATTCCCCCTAAAAGGCTTTTTGGAGAAGAGCTAAGAAGAGAGGTGATAGCAGAAAGAGGAAAAGGAACTCACCAGTAAGAAACTGAACACAAGATAAAGTCTTTTATTTGGAGATAAGGGGTGAGCTTTTCACATTTGAGATGTGTGTTCATAAATCAGAACAGTGTGTATGTGGTTCGTGCATTAGCCCAAAGTAAAGAGAAAATAGTGGCTACTGTCCTCAAAGCAGAAGAATGATTCACAAGTTAAATGAACTACAAGCCTTGTGAATGCTTCTGCTACTAAAGATAATCTTTTAAGGAGAAAAAAGCATTTTCATCAAATGTGTTGCACACACCTGTGGCACTTTACTAGGCGATGTCTTCATCAAAGGCACTGGAATTCAGAGTAAATGTTCTATGCTTGCATAATGTAGAAATTCACACTTCTCAAACTCTACTACAGAAATCCAAGCTCTACCCCCAATTTCACGCAAGATGGCCTACTTCAAACAGGTGTGTGCCCTTCAAACAGAATCATATCCAGAACTGATCTACTAATCTACGCTTTATTTCTATGTGCTACAGATGTTAACTCATGGTCATTTTTTAGCTGTACTGTAAGCACAATCTGAGCAACAGATACTTTGTCTATTTTAAGTTATAAATAGCCTATCACTTTCATGGATATGCACTATGATACATATTGAAGAACTGAAATGACAAACAAAAGTATTCATTATTTTAAACAAGGTGTGGGAATATCACCTCTTTCCACAAATTACTTGAGTAAAGAACATGGCCTCACAGTTTTCAAATACTGCAGCATGAGAATTCTTTCTTATGTGACTTTTTCAAGAAGGCCTTACTTGCTCCTGTTGGGCATAAGCAGGATGGGAGAGGACCCGATGAGAGGTGAGGACAGCCTCTCTGGTGTTCAGACTACAAATGATAAAAATGATTTTCCTGCCGCTGTTTCTCTCTTGGCAGATCTCCCACACAGAAGCAGCACTGGTGTATGGGAAGAGCGGCTTCTGTTTTGGAGACAGAGTCCTGTCTGACTCTAACTACAGCTCCCTGTCTCGCTGAGACACAAGACCGTTGCCCCAATTTTGTATTTAATATATTCTTCCATGCACAAATGAAGGACTACATCCTGCAGAATTACTGCATATCCTACTAGGGTTTCAAAAGCTACATGGACTGTGGTGTCCTAGGTGTCTCCACTTTGTAAGACTCACCCCAAGTCTCTGTGTGAGCCTTCGCTGGCTAAGCTCAAGTGCACTTTAATACAAGTGAAAATGGAAGTGTTTTGCTGAGGTCACAGCAGGTCCAATGGGGTGTCCCCCTGTCTCCTTGGAAATCCTCAAGGACAGTCAGGGTGACCCTGGTACTTTCAAACACTGTGCAGTCAGAAGCAAGCTAGGAAGGAGTGTCAAATTTTGGTGAAGATTTATGGGACAGTGCTTAAAATATCCCTCTACTTGACAGGGAAAATTTCTGTGGATTTCAACAAGAGAGCACACAACTAGAAAAATGAGAAAATTTTCATCTAATGTAACATGTCTTAGGACACCCATTCAATATCTTTATTTCTGACAATAGCCCAAAGAAAAGACTATCTTTCCATAGCATTTACCATCCCATTCATACGCATTTGAGAACTTGTCTCCTGTATTAGAATACCATGCAAACCTCTGAGTCACACCATGAGAGACGAAAAAAATGTCAACATTATGTATTTCAGCACACAAAGCAGAATTTATATTACCTCTGTGTTAATAACTTCCATTGGTCTTTTCTTCATTTCTCCTATGTCCAAGTAACTGAGAAAAAGAAACAAAAGGTAAGGGTTGCTTTGATAGGTTTTAGTCAGTTACATAAATTTATTTTTAAACATTATTTAAAAAAATAAAACAAGTCATAAGAAATGCATCAACCTAAAGCAAAAATCAATAGGTATTAGACAACTAAGAACTACTGTCATCACTAATCAGACCTGATATGTGTCTACCCTAAACTTCAAAGGAATTGGAAGCCAGGTATGGTGGCATGCGCCTGTAACTCCTGAACTCAAGAGGTTAAGGCAGGAGGTGGGTTGCTGTGAGTTTGAGGCCACCCTAGGCTACATAGTGAGACCTTGTCTCAAAAAAAAAAAAAAAAAAAAAGGAAAGTCTTAGAAATACATATTTTAGGGAACATTTCCCCTTAATAGTTAGCTGCTGACTCACTACTATATTTCTGCTTTGTGTATGAACTTGATAAAGAGTGTATTCTATGTAAAGCTGCTGAGCAGTTTCATCAGTCACAAACTTGAGGTCAAAGGAAGTACTGAGAGGGAGTATTAAAGTAACACCTGGGAAAGGCTGGGAGATCACCAGGAGAGCAGTTTACTGGCAAAAATGCTCATGCTCAGTTCAGCGCAGAGAAAGGTAGATGGACTAGTTAACCTCTAGGGACACCTATTGTTCCATTACTATTTGCTACAGATATTAACTAGTGATCATTCATTAGCTACTGCTTAAATACAGCCTTAAAACTTTATACCATTGTTAACTTCAGGCTGCAGGTCCATCCTTGTGATCTGGTTCCATTTTTAAATGGTCCCTAAATTGTGCTTTATACATAAATGGTGCCACATAACCATTGTAATATAAATGTATAAACCTAGCATTCATCACCATAGAGGGACAGAGTCATAATCTCAAAGACTACAATTGCCAAATTGTCAGAAAGAAGTTTCTATTAGATCAACTTTGGCTACTGAAATGTTTTTATTGTGGCTGCTGTTATTAGCTCTTTTTTTCTTTTTTTGGACAGAATACGATTGATCAATATCTTGGAAAACATTGTATATTTTTCCTATATACACATAGTTATATAAGACAGTACAAACACTACCCTATCTTAGCAATAAAATGGGTCTTTTGTGAATCTACAAGGACTGTTTCAAGCATAAGACCAAAATACTCTGTCATACATAGGAAAGTGATCTCAGATTTACAAGATTAATATGGTAGACTCAGTGCCAAAAGTTGAGTCAACATTTCCCAGACTGTCGGGACAGTTTCTGGAAAAATAGTCTCTAGAACTTTCTGCTACAAAATAAAGATTTAACCTACCTGGAATTAAGATACGGTTCCAAAAATTTTAGAAAAGTCTAAGTGAAAAAAATTCCAAAAGTTGGGCATGGTGACACACACCTGTAATCCCAGCACTCAGGAGACTGAGGCAGGAGGATTGCTGTGAGTTCAAGACCAACCTAGGCTACAAAGTGAGCTCAAGGCCAGCCTGAACTGCATAGTGAGACCCTGTCTCAAAAACACAAAGAAAAGAGAAGAAAAGAAATTCCAGCAGAAATTTGATTGTTGCCATTTGGAAAATACTTTGCTATGTTCCCCAACATCATTTAGGATCTGCATGAAGGCCCACAAGTCTCAGTATCTTTTGGGCTCTCTTTCATTCTGCTGGTTTCTTCATGAGTTATAAAACTTACAGAGCTAAGCTTCAAAGATATTCAGCATTTAAATCTTGCCATCTTTATTATAGCTACAGATACTGCTACTTTTTAACACAAATATAATAAATTAGTCATCTGTCAGTCAGCATAGAAAACTAACCATGGATACTGTTATAACAAACTCAGTTTTCTTGTGCTCATTAAAAGCAAAAAAAAACATGCCAATCTGTTATAGACATACACAGAGTGATGGGAAATCCCCTCTAGTTTGGAGTTGTGTCCTTTTATCTCCTGTGTTAGTAATGCCAAACAAACAAAGTTATTCAGTAATTCAGTGTGACTTGCTAAAATGAGTCTATAATTTCTAGTTGTTCATATGAGCTTCTGAAGAAGCTTTCCATATCCATGAAATTACTTGATGTGAAAATTAATTAAGAAGTATATAAAGAACTTCGATATTTACAGAACATACTCATATCCATAGTGTTTGCTTTTTATAACATCCCTGTGAGGTAGAAACAGTTGTGTTCCTTTTCTATGTCAAGAAACTGACCCACTGGTCAACTGGCTTGCCCAAGGACACAGCCAAGAAATGGCTGAGTCTCAAGTCTCCTGTTTTAAGTTAAAAGCATTTTTAGACACATAATTTCCTGTAGTTCTTTTCTATGAAGTGAGACAAGGTGTACTTGAGGGAAATTTTAGGGAATAGAAAAATAGATCCAAATATATCCCTCATCTTCTATAAAAATTGTCTGGTATAGCAAAAAGTAGAATACAAAGAACTAAATTTAGGTAGTAAAGGACGATATTAGAGAATAATAGTAATTTAGTAATAATTGTGAAATTTTTAATTATATTATTATTTAATAATAATAATTTAATAATATTTGGGAAAATATTTCTACATAATTAACAACAAAATCCAACTCAGGAGTTTGAGGCAGGAGGATCACCATGAGTTCAAGCCCACCCTGGACTACACAGTATACTCAAGAACAGCCTGAATTATACAGTGAGACCCCATCTCAAACCCCACTTAAAAAATGCAAAATCATAGAATTATGATAAAGATTTTTTTGCTACCCAGAGCCCGAGATAAATTTTAACTAAAATATTCTATTTTAAAACCAAGGAACATGGAATTTCCATTAGATCTAGCAATTTCACTCCTAAGTGTATATCCAAGAGAATGGACACCTAGAAACAACTCGTCGAAGCATCACTCATAATAGCCAAAAAAGTGAAACAACCCAAATATTCATCAGCTGCTTAATGGATAGGCAAAGTGTGGTGTATCTATAGCACAGACTATTATTCAACAAGAAAAATGCTATCCAGAGCCATGCTACACCATGAAATCTTACAGCATTAGGAAACTAAGTCAGACGTAAAGGGCCCCTGTTGTCTGATTCCACTTAATATGAAATGTTCAAAATATGCAAACCCCTAGAAATAAGAGATTAGTGGTTACCAGACAATGAGGGAAGGGGAAATTGGGAAGTGTAGATTTCTTGGGGGCAGGGCCTGAAAGAAATGTTCTAAAATTGGTTTGTAGTGATAGCTGTACAACTCTGTGCATACACTGAAAAATCCCTGAAATGGACAGATTAAATGTTATGTAAAGTACATCTCAGTAAAGTTGTAAAGAAAAAATCTGATAAAATACAAAATTCCACCTGTCCCGTACTGCTCAACCCCTCTCACTGAGCTAGAACTTTAACTGTTTTACCTCATGCACTAATCCCTTGTCTTTGCATTAAAACGTGGCACGCCTGTGGCATCATGTTGTCTTGGTCCTTGTTCCCTCACAGACGGGTTTGCTAAGTCATTGAGCATCTACCACGGCATGAGCTCCCTGCAAGGACGTGGGGGAGTGATTCCTGTCCTTCCAGCGGGAGACAGACAGGTAAATAATACAGCAAGCCGCTGAACTTTTGCAGGCGTGAAGTTACTAGCATGCATTCGCGGGTGTTGTGGGGAAGTCACAGAAGCCGGGCTCTTCCCATCATTAGGAACCGAACATTCCAAGGATATAAACAATGGTGGATGTGAAGTAGTTTTCTCCTCAGGTAATATAGCATATCACACTCTGAAAGTGATCCTTAAGAAATCTTCATTTAAACTAAAAAGATAGGCTCAAAAAATAATAATAAGGTGAAAAAAGTGCAGGAGAAGACAGAAAAAGCATAAACACAGAATCAGTTTGGTCGCTAACCTTGCAAGGATGCTTTTTGAAAACTCCTCCTTTACACAAATTTTACACCTGTACCTACCGCCACCCAAGTGAAACCCCTTCTGCCTTCCTAGTTTCAACCCTCATCTCCAGCTGCAGCAGGGGCTCTGGGAGGCAGCACCCCAAGTCGTAGCCCCCACCAACACCCCCGGAGAAGTGGATGGGGCGGGGGTCACTCGTCGCCTCGTGTCGCCCACACGCCACACTCACTTGAGCTTCTTGAAGGCCTCCTGGCCCCCGGCCACGTAGTTGCCGCCGCTCTCGATCTGGTCCAACTTGCGGATGCGGTGGCCAGTGCGCGGCGTGTAGATGTTCCTGACGGCCCCAAAGGGCGCCTGGACGCCGCCCGTCACCTCCTTCAGGAACACGTCGAAGCTGGACACCTTCTTCTCGTGGATGACCACGCGGCGCCCCGCGAAGAACGGGTCCCCGTTGCGGTACACGAGCACGCTCTTCACCACCGGCTGCGACAAGTGGCTGGACCTGGCGCCCGGGCCGCTCATCTTTCCCAGGGGACCGGGCCGGCACCGCCTCTGCCCCGGCGGCCTCGCGGCGTGGGTCGCCTCCTGCAAGGGACGGGAGTGACAGCCGGGCCGGGCGGGGACGGGCGCGCCGCGCTCCGCGACTCAGGGCTCAGGGCGCAGCCCCGCCTGGGCTCAGCGAATCCGCCGCACCTGCTTCCCACCGCCCGCTCACCTGGGCACAGGTGCGGGCAGCGCCCCTGCCGCCCGCACGGGACGGGGAGGAGACCTGGCACACACACACACACACACACACACACACACACACACGCACGCACCTGCACATACGCGCACGCACACACGCACCGTAAGTACGCGGAACTCAGGTTCCACGGCCGTCCCCGCCTGTCGCTGTGCGCAAACAGCTCAGGGTCCTCTGCTCCCACCTGGCACCCTCCCCCTCGGTATACTGTTTGCTCCGAAATAAGTTAAGACTCGGGCTGGAGTTGCCTAGATTCGTCTTTGCTAAAATATAGACACCTCAAGTGCACTGAGACAGAGACAGACAGAAAGACAGGGCGACAGAAAGAGACAGAAAGACAGGGAGAGACAGAGACCGAGAGACTGAGACGCCACTCGCGTGTGCAGGACCCCGGATGACCAGCGCCGCCCGGTGGCGAGGCGCGGTGAGCCTGGCCTCCACCCCACCGGCATATCGGGGTCCCAGGGCGCGGCCCGAAGTACCTGCGGACCCTCGAGGCTGTGGCTCGTTGGCACCGTGGTGACCCGCTGTCCTTCCGCTGCCCGCTTCCCTCTTCGGGCAGCGATCAGCCCTGGGGAGCCCGGTTGTTACTTCCCGACGTTTCCAGGGCAACCGCAGCCGCGCGGGGACTGAGCCGAGCTCCAGCCCTGCGGCCCCGGGCGTCCGCACACCCAGGCCAGAGGCCTGAGCTCCCGCCACACAGCGACGCCAACCGGGGGCGGGCGCGCAGGGCGCTGGGCACTTGCCTGCTGTGAAGAGGTTTGTCCAGGAGGAGAGCTTCTTCATCAGAAGCCTGTGCCCCAGAGCCTACAAGCGGACTGGCCATGCAAATTATCAGATGCAGAGAAAAATTTTGAGAGTATTAAGAACCTCAGTAAAGCGCTTTGTCCAGTCCATACTGGGACACACATCTTGTGGGACCAAGAAAATTGTCTTTAAAAAGTTGAAGAAGGTTTGGTGGCATACACCTGAAATCTCAGTATTCTGTGAAGCTGAGGCAAGAGGATGGCAAGTTTCAGCCCAGCCTGGGTATTTTAGTGATTTAGTGAGACACTGTCTCAAAAACTTGAAATCTTGCAATTCATCTTTGCTAGCGTTCCCTAGTCCTCTTTAAGATCTTACTGCTATGTGTCATGTCCATATTCTATGACCAGGTGTTCCTCATTGATCATGCATGGGTAAGAATAATATCTGTCACTAACTGAACACTTAATCATGTACCAGGCATTACGTTAGGCACTTTGCATAGATTATCTAGTTTAACGTTCACAGTGACCTCCAGAAGTCAATACTGCTCTCTCCTCAGAGGAGGACCCTGAAGTGTAGGGAAACCAGACCTTTACCTGAGGCCCCAGAGGAGGGGTCAGCACAATCCTGCTTTACTCAACGTGAGCGTGAGTGTGAGGCACTGCAACCTGGGGAGAAATCTTCTCCTAAAGCCTCAGGACACATTAATGCCATGGTAACTAATTTTCAAAACAATGATCAAAAAGTGGAGAATCTAGAGACAATACTAGAAGGGAGAAATTCCATGAACCAGTGGTGGGCATGCACAGGTCAGAGGGTGGGTGAGGAAAACAGCTGTGCAAGTGCACCGCCATGTGGCTCACAGAGACAGAATTCGCACCTAAAAGAATGGGGGGCAGTGGCTAAGCATCAGTACCCCCAACAACCTAAGGCTCCTTCACTCCTGTATTAACCCAGCACCAAATGAGAGCATGCGGCCCTGTGTACAAAAATTAAGAATTTCCAGAAGGCAACAGCTGCACTTCAAACCAAGCACAGAGTCCTTCTAGGAATGGGATACTGTCGCCAGCCCACAAAGCCATGCACATCTGTATTCTGATGCCTCTTGCAGTGTCTCCAGCCCCGATTTGTCTCTTCAGCTGTCTGTTTCACCTGATGTTGTCATAAAAGCTTAACATTTGGCTCTCAGAGGGGAGAAAAAGGCCTTGATTTATACATAGCATTTGCCAATTTCTGTAATTTACTCCAAACATGGCCAATTTCCAGCTACCAGTCCGACATCACTGCAGGCCAAGAACAGCACAGCAGCACAACATTGTGTGGTATTTCGACCACACAGATAGGACACAATTAATCATGAGGGCAGAGATAGTAGTAAAATATTTATTATATTATCTTTATTTTCAATGTAATGTATTTAACTGTATATGATTTCATTTTTAATAATGAATGCATTTAAAACTTCTGAAAATTGAACAGTTGACTCACCTGAGCCAGGCAGCTCCTAGCACACTTGTTCCCGGACAGCTTCTCTAGACCTGGACAGCTTCTCTAGACTAACTAGAGGAAGCAAAATGCTCTCCTGGTTTATCAGAATGTCTTTGCCTGTGTTCCTTTTCTCCACAGTGGGCCCATCTATTCATTTGCTCAAGGCCGGCACGCACACATTTCTCTCCCTCCTGTGTATAACTGTGGTAAAGAAACAGCCAATGACAGCAGTAACAGCGAAAGTAATCATATTTGCAATATCTCTCCCTGTTCCTTTTGCTTGCTGAAGTGGCTCTGGGGATTTTTTTTCTCTCGAGAAGAATTCTGACAGTCAGCAAAGGAGGATTTTAGGGTACCAGAAAGGTTACATAAATCCTGATCATGAAGAACTGAGGCAACATGAGACTGACTTGGGTGGAAGCTAAAGAATGCATGAGAGCACCCAGTGAAAGACAGGAGAGAGTAGTTTGTCTCTAAGCTCCTTCCTGAGTGTGTGGAAAACTCTGACCATAAGAGAGATGGCCAAAGAAGATTCTTAAAAAAGTTTTGCTGTGCATTAGAAATAACACCACCAAGTACTAGGTGCTTCCTCAAGAATAAATCTCTACAATGCTTTCAATTATATTTTGCTGCCCAAATAATTATTCTGGAGTAACAGTGAGCTTAAACCAGACCATCATGCCCTGCACTTGCGAAGATTCTTAAGCCCATCCCCAGTATCAGTTCTATCTCTCAAATGTTGCTTAAATCCATCTGCTAACCTCCAAACTCATTCCCCGCTCCCAAACTCAGCATGCCATCCCCCAAAAGATCACCTGTTCTCAGGTTCTGCTTCCCTACTATCCATTCTCCACAGAACAGCCAAGCTGAAGGGTTGGTTGAAGAAAAACCAAAATGTATTCACCATTCTCTAGCTTAAAACTCAGTGCTGATCATATTTGCTAAGATGAAATGCAGCAGCATGCACATCAATTAAAAGTTTGGAACACATTGCCTCTGTCACCTTGGTTTCCATCTCCTCTTGCATAGCACTCCCCCTGGCTCTCCAAAGTCCAGACTTGTCCTTCTACTTCTTTCAGTGTCCCCAGGAACACTCTTTTTTTTTTTTTTTTTTTTTTGGTTTTTCTCTGGTACCAGGAACCGAACTCACGACCTTGCGCTTGCCAGGCAGGCGCTTTTGCCGCTGAGCTAAATCCCCAGCCCCCCCTGGAACACTCTTGATGGTCCTGCATGCCCTAGTCACTACTCGTTTGTCTCCCTTCAGTGGATACTTCAAGACCCAATTTAAATGTCCTTTTGCCTGTTCTGTGCCACTCCCCAGATTAGGATGAACCCCCCATATAGTATATATTTTTCCTCCATAGGTTTTGCCAATAGTAATTATAAATCTTTGCATATGTTCAACTATAAATCTTTGTGTAATTATGTTTAGTCTTAGTAGAATTATATGTTATGTGCATAAACTCTCTATGGGAAAAGATTGTGTTTATTGTATCATTAACACCTTACCAGTACCCAGCATGGAGGCTAGAACATAAGAACCAAATATTTCATGAATGAGTAGAAAATGTTGTTTAAAGTTAAGTGAAAAACATTTCAAACATTAGAAAATCCTCTTGTTGGAGAAATCATAATTTTAGATCAGCAAATAAAAAAGTACTTGACAACCCAAGAGTTCCTGAAACTAATTGCTTAGATTTAGTAAGAAAATAGCTAGCCTGGTGCTGAGCACCCCCACACAACATACTGAGTCTTGTACCCAGGACTGGGTGTCAGTGATCTTTCAAGGCAGTAGAGATATGTATAAAATGTGGAGCCTGTGACTAGGTTTTCCCTAAAGAGTGTGCCACATGTACACTTGGTTTTCATATTTCAATCTCAAGAATGTGGATTTCTTGAGACTAAGTTCCTTGCATATACACATAGATGATACAGACTGTTTCTGATAGACCCAGAATACCTCTGGTCAAGTTAACTCAGTTGGTTCTCATAATGGCTAAGTTCCTTTTCAAATCCACATACTGGGTTGCCTACCTCAGCCAGCTACACTAAAAGTGCCTAATAGGTTGGGAGTGTGGTCAGTGATAGAGCACTTGCCTAGCATACACAAGGCCCAAGATACCATCCCCATGACCCCCCCACAAAAAAGCTTAATGTGGCTGTAAGAAGGGTCATCCTCATCTCCTCTACAAACAAAATCATATAGATTCTACTTGCTTATCCCATATTTCACTGTAATAGTTTAGATCCAACATGTCCCACAGAAGTCTCATGCTCAGAGATAAGGATTTTGGAAGGTGACTGGATTATAGGGATACTGTATTCAGCAGTGGCTTTGTTCACTGTTCAGTTGACTTAGTTCAGTTAACGGTGCTGTTTAGCAATAAGGGCTTCTCAGAAGAGGCAAGTCACCGGAGGCATGACCTGGAATTGCATATTCTTGTCCCTGGCTCCTCCTCCTTTTCCTCTGTCTCTTCTGTTCTCATCTCTTCTCTCTTCTCTTCTCTTCCCTCTTCTTCCCCTCCCTTCACCCTTCTCCTCTCTCTCTTTCTCCTTCCTTTCCCCCCTCCCTTCTTCTCCTCCTCCCCCTCCCCCTCTCTCTCTCCTTCCTGGCTGTCATGTATTGAGCACACCTGCTCTGCTGTACCATTCCACAATATTATTTCTGCCTGGGCACCAACCAATCATGGACTAAATACTCTGAAAACCATGAACAGACCTCTCCTCCTTTAAGTTACAAGTGTCAGGTATTTAGCCCCAACAATGAGAAAATGACTAATATATAAACCTTACGTTTCTCCTCATTCTTTTTGCCCCCTACATCATTGTAGAGCTTGTTCAATAAATCACCATGTAACTAAGGAGTTAAAAATAATAAAAAGTAGTAAACAGGCGTGGTGGCTCACACCTGTAATACTAGCACTCCAGAAGCTGAGACAGGAGGATCACTGTGAGTTTGAGGCCAGCCTGGGCTACAAAGTGAGCTCAAGGCCAGCCTGAACTGCATAGTGAGACCCTGTCTCAAAAAAGACAAAATAATAATAATAATAATAATAAGTAGTAGTAATTTGCTACTTTATTTCCATTTAAAAT